GAGAAAGAAAAGGCAGCGGATGCAAAACGGCTTCTTTTTCTCCCACTCTCCCCACCACCAAATCAAGGAATCTCAGCTCAGCACATATACACCCCATCTGTTTAATTGTCAGTCTAGGGAATGGTCTCTTTGAAACCTCCCACCCACCCATATCAGTTTTGCAACAGAAAGCAAAACGGAGAGAAACAGAAGGCAGGCGAAATACCAACACTCTCACACTCAGTGGCCCAGCATCAAGAAAATGGCATTTGCACAGCTATCCGTGAGTGTCTTGACTCACAAGTTCAATTCCCAGCCCCGGCTAGTGGCCAGTTCTGCCAAATGTAGGCTCAAACGGCCTCTGTCCATGTGGGAGAAACCTCTCCCTTACAGAGAACATATTTTGACGCAACAAAACAAAAAGAAACATCACCCTTTTCCAGTCTGTGTGTGTAGTCTGCGTGGGTAGAGGTAAGTATTTTAGCAGAGGCCTTGTAAAACCTAGGCCTTCAATAGGAAATCATACCAAGGGGAAGACTGGCAAAAAAGCCCCTCCTTATCTAGGAGACTCAGGCCTGGTTTGCATAACCCGGAAGAAAGACTGAATTCCAACAGCCAATGCAGGCTCACATGGCTGAATGTCATTCCATGGGAGATAAATTCCATGAAGCTCCCTGCACCTAGAAGACCAGCAGATCAAGAAAAGGTGGTGCTAAAATCCCTGTTGCACCAGCTTGCTATATACAAGGAATGATACAGTATTTATTCAACAATGCCCTAAATTTTGTACGGGAATAGCATTCCATCAGCTATTTCTGAAGTCATACAGCCAAGAGACACCACTTTCCCATTTCCTCTACAATTCTGAAGAGACCTAGGCCAATCCTGGATGCTGTGAACTGAGATTCTGGCGTAGAATTTCTCACTCCCATTGAAAACAATCCCCAGTGGCAATTCATTTCCCACACCCAATGGTAACCGGTCCTCCCAGACCCCAGTCCTAGGGACAATGTGCCTCAAGGCCTACCTGGATGGGAGCTGTGCTGAAGTGGATCTTGCGGCTGGGGACAGCATCCTCCTCTTCTGACAGGCCAGGGATCTCCATGCAGCTGGATTCCGGAGCATACAGTCCATCGGCATCCTCGTCTTCATCCAGCCCGCTCCCTCCCGAATCCTCCCCCAGCCCACTGTAGGCGCTTATGTCCACAAGGTCAGCCTCAGAGAAATCTTCCTTCTTAGACTCATCACCCAGGTCATTCTCCTCTGGTCCTTCAGCCTTAGTGGCTTCCTCACAGTAAGCATCTGACAACGGATCTGGAGTTTCCAAGTGTCTCTCGCTGCCACCACCCAACCTGCCATTTTCCAGGGCTGCATGCACTGTTACCTCAGCCTGGATCACATCAGCCCGGACAGCATCAGCCCCCTTTGAGGCCTTGCTCTGCTCCTCCGCTATTGCTGCCGCTACCGCCACCTCTGCAGCCTCAAACTCCTGCTCCGAGTCCCCACTCTCCTCCACTTCTACAGGCTTGATCTTGCGCACCTCTTGGACCTTCTGAGGACGGAGGGCCACATTACTCTCCTTCTCCGTGGCTTTCCCTGCTCCCAAACCGCTCCCGCTTGCGGCCGGAAGCTTGGCTTGGCTTTTGTCAGCCTCGGGCAGCCGGCCTCTCACCTGGAGAGCGGGCCCGTCGCTACTCCTTGCTTCCGCTTTGGCACCACCTGCTTCAGGAGCCTGCAGGAAAACCCTGGACCTTTTGGTGACAATCTTAGAGTTGAGGGGCCCAACTTTGCCAGGGGTTTTGTGGAGGTTGTTCCTCAAGTCGGCCTTCTCGAAGACCGCGCTGAGTTGGCTGACGGTGGGGGACACGGCCTCCGTGTCTAGCTTGTCCAACGATTCCGTGCTCCCGTTGAACCTGACCACCACGTCCAGCTTCCTGTCCTGAAAGCCGCCCCTCTCCTTCCTCAACAGGAGCTTGTTGGTGGTCTCTTTCTCCTGCAGACTCTTCTCAAAGATCTTCCGTGTCTCCTGGAGCTTGGACAAGGGCTTGTCCGTCTTGGAGTCAAAGCGGCTCACCCGCTCCGACACGCTGGTGCCCAACTTGAGCAATGCACTGTGGTCTACATTCTCGTTGAGGCTGCTGGCCCGGGGCAAGGACAGCCGGACGGGCTTCTCCTTCATCTTGGCCAGGTCCACGGGGGTGGCCTCGCCAGGAGGCGCCGTGGTCCCCATCTGCAGGAACATGTTCTTGATCCGGTGGACGTTGGAGCCATACTTCTTGTTCCGGGCTTTCTTGGCCTCCTCACTGTCGGAGTTCCCGAGGGCATCTTTTGTGGCTTTCAGGGCTTGGATGCTGGCTTCGTAGGCATTCCGGTGAGGCGAGGCACTTCTCAGATTCGCTCCACTACCGTTGCCGCCACCACTGCCACCACTGCTACTCCCGCTGCTGCTGCTGCTGCTGCTGCCGCCAGCGGGACTATTATGGGGTTCAGTCTTCATCATGGTTCAGCAAATCTCTTGGTGTCGCTGACACCACATAGCCCCACGCGTCCTCCTCCGTCTGCCTCTCCTCCTCCTCCTCCTCCTCTTCTTCTTCCTCCTCCTCCGCCGCCACCACCACTGCCACCGCCAGCAGCAGCCCCACCACCACCACCTTCCTCCTCCTCCTCCTCCTCCTCTTCCTCTCCTCCCTCAGCAGCCTCTTCTTCCGCGCTGGAGCTGCTGCAGCCGCCTCCCGTTCGTCGCCCGACTCACATCGGGGCCAGAAGCCCCAAGAAGGCGGCGAGGGGCGGCGAGGCAGAGCACAGCGCGGCAGCGGCTCCCGCGACAAACACGTCTTTCATTGTGTGTGTGTGTGTGTGTGCTTGTGTGTGTGTGTGTCAGGGAAATGTGGTCAGTCCTTCCGTCTCCGGGGGGGGGGGGGGGACGGGGGGGGGGGGGGGGGGGGGAGTAGCTATCGTTTACAAGTCTACCCTAGAGGTAGTTAGGGGCTTCTCACCCGAGGCGGCAGCAGCAGCAGCAGAGGCGGCGGCGAGGGCGCCCAGATCCCTCTCCAAAAAGGGGCGGCCGGGTTAGCTCAGGCCCACTCCTACCGCCTGGTCGGATGGGTTAGACCTCGCCTTCATCCCTTCCTTCCTCTTCCTCTCCTTGTCGCTGTCTCGCTCACCCTGGATCTTCTAGCTCCAGATCTCTTTCTCTCTCTCTCGCCCTCTTTTGCAGCCCCGATGATGATGGAGACCAAACCGTCTTGCAAACGGCACAGCCTGTCGGTCCTAAAAAAAAGGGGGGGAGGGGGGAATTAAAAAGGAGGGGTGGAGAGAGAGAGAGAAAGAGAGACGGGGGGGGGATGAGGAAAAATTCCCGCTGGGTCTTAAAGAGCTCTCTTTACTCGTCCCTCCCCGGTTTTTTCTGCTGTGGCAGGAAAGGAAGCGAAAAAAAAGAGAGAGAGAGGCAGCGACACGTTCTTCCTCTCTCTCTCTCTCTC